GGCGAGCCGTTGGAGGTGGTAAAATCGACGTTCCCCTAGGTTCTCCTCGCCGTCGTGCTCTCTACCTCCCACCGTTGATAATCCGATCTTTCTAAGGAGATTCCCCATTTTTACAAGCTCGTCCTCGGCTCGCCGCCGGGGGCATTCGAAATATTCGGCCGGGATTTCTCAGTCGCTCGGATGAGAGGCGGCCGGGCGGCGAGGGGCAGCTCCTAAGAGAAAACATGGTTCTACCAGAGCGAGAGAGAGCAAGAGAGAGCGAGAGGCAGGGACGGGACCGGGGCAGGCGGTGACGGAGCCCCTCCGCAAATTCGTTCCAATTGTTTAAAAGTACGGAAACGGGTCGACAAGGAGCTTCTGCTCGCCTCTGAAGACGGTTGTTCCCAGGTTCAGCGAACCGTGCCGCGTTTCCGTCGACCATTATCGTCATTACTTTATAACGTCGCGGTCCCCCTCGGCATGTATTTTCTTGAGAGCATCTCGGTGCTCCAAGGATCGAGCGTGTTCCTCGTCTGTCGGATCCCCGGGACACGCTCGCGGTTCTCAAATTCTTTCCGCTTTACGGAGAACTGTTTTCCCTCGTTTCACTTTCGATCCACCGCCGCGACAGCCGAACGGATTACTTCTACCAGCGGCAACGTCTCGGAGCGTTCACGGCGAAGCGGAAACGGCAACTCGCGGGAATGGAGAACCCGACGCCGAATTAGCTCGCGAGTGGAAACGGACGGTTCTGCTCGGACGCGGTCACCTTTCCCAGAGCACTTGACTGGTTTTCTTCCTTTTTTTCGGGATCGTTGGCCGAGCCGCATACGATGATTATTTATTTATATTTATTTATGTACTTCATATATTTATTTAATTTACTTGATTTGTATATTTTATTTACTTATTTTATTAAATCTTCCGGAAAGTCCGTCGACCCGAAGCATCGACGTAGCAATAAATTACACAGGCGTAGGACTAACAGAGGGAAATTCACAGCAACCCGAAATTTGGCATTTCCGGGAGAAATTACTGTATAGAGGAATAAGGAAATAATATACTAGAAGTCCTATTCCATTATAGACAGTATAAACTTTCTGTATTGCTTTCAGACGACCTTTAACGCTCGATACGTATATAAAAAAGTACCAGAACAACAAATATTGAATTGTAAAAAATTTTTAAAATTTATTTTCTGGGATAATTGAAAATAATCGGCCGCACGTGTGGTTCCGGGACACTTTTTACTCTAAAGTTGTCCGAAATTGTCTGAAGTTGGCCGAAATTGTACGAAATTGTCAAAAATTGTCTGAAGTTGTCCGAAATTGTCCGAAATTGTCTGAAATTGTCCGAAGTTGTCGAAAATTGCCCGAAATTGTCCAAAGTTGTCCGAAATTGTCCGAAGCTCCACCTCTGAAAATCAATTATCGCTGATCAAACATCAAACAAATATAAAAACGCATAAAGTGCAGTCTTTTCTCAAATGCGTCGATAATTAAAAAAAAAGAAACAAATCATTTTGTCTCATCCAAGAGAAGAAGTACGCGAGTCCTCGGCATTCCTTCAAAATAACAAACGGTTGAAGTGTTCCAAGTAGCGGCAGAGGGTGGCAATCAATATTCATTTCGAAACGAAAGAACAATCGCCCGTCCGAATTAATCCGCAAGGAGATCCGGGAAAATGCGAGGCTGCGAGCCCTCGCGGCCCCTTCGTCCCCGCGCCCCAATTATTTCCTCCTTCGGCGCGAGATAAACGGACCGCGCGGCGAGACCCCAACCATTCCCCCCCCTCTCCACGGGCTACTGCGATACCGAAAAACAAAGAAAATCGTCGTGTCTGCCGCGGTAATCCGTGTTCCGGGCGACCTTGCGCCACTGGTGCGCGATAACCCGCACACGCGTAGACCTGGAAAGGAGTCGGCGAGGAGAGAAGATGAGAGGAGGAGAGCGGAGGAGAGGCGACGAGGAGACAGAGGTCGCGAAGAAGGTAGCCGCGATATAATTAGCAGAAATTGGAGTTAAGTCAGAAAAGCAAAGTTATGGAGCCGGGGACGGGCGAGGGGGCCGGAGCAGTTACAAGGGTGCGGGGGCGAGGGGGTGGCCGGCGGACTGCCATTTCGCGCTGGCAGCTTTGCTTTTTCCTCCGCTGCCGCTAATATAATTACTAATTAATTACTGTTCCCCAAACCACCCAAGAGTCAACCTCTCGCCGGTTTCGACGCGGCATAGCGAGCACGGAAGGACACTGCGAGAGGCCGGGCTCTCTCTCGCCGAGCTAAGGATAATTTCTACCACCGTCCGACGGAAAAGTAATGCTTTCCGTTTTAATAACGTTGTTCGTACGTACGTGAGAGCGCGCGCGCGCTCGCGCGCTCGGACCCGGGCCCAATGGGAACAACTTTTCACTGGCGCGACCCCGCGATGCACCTGCGTTCGACGCCGCCCTCGTAATTGTTTCCCTCTGTCCCCGCGGGAGCAGCTGAAAACAACCCGCTAAAAAAAATACTACAGCGTCGTAGTACAACCCGGGGAACACCGCGAGGAATTAACGAGAAGGGACGAGGATATTCTCCGGAGACGGGATCCCGGAATGGACGCGATTCTTCGGCTGAACGATCGCGATTCCATTTGCAGCGAATTTTTTGGCTGTCGTTGCGACCCTTGACCGGGCAGTTTGGTCAGGGTTGACTGAAGATATTTGCGAGGTTTTAAGGGAATCGACTGATCGATACTTTGAGGAATCCTTCGGATGCGCTGTTTTTACGGTTTATCGGTTTGGCGATTGTAAGTTGAGATGTTTCTTGCGGACCGATAAAATTTGGGGATATTGACATACAATTCGTTATTGGAGTTGTTTAGAGTTATTTGGACTCTGTGATCGAAGATATCGACACAATTTCAAGTGAAAAAGACGATTGGTTTCATCCAAAATCGATCTATAAATAGATTATTGTTAAGAAGCGTCACCTTCTTTGTCAGAAAAGGATTATCTTGTCGAATGAACTAATTTTATTGACGTTATGTCGATGTAATTCCTCTCTGGTACAGTTTTGATTGTGTCACTGAAGGTACAGTAATTTCTTCCGGAAATGTTCGGAGGTCGGAATTGAAATCGGCAGATAAGAGAATACTGAGTCGCGATTCTTTGTGCCTCGCGACTCGTTTTTATGGAAACTCGAGGCTGTCAATAAAGGCAGCGGCCAGCATGCTGGTGTACATCGTATCTCCTCTTGTCAAATTGACCATTTTTATGCACAATTTAAGCATCAATAAGGGAGAATTAATAATAATTAATATGCCGTTCCTAATTTCAAGATTCCATAAATGACTCGTTTCTGTTTTGTCCGGTATATTGTTACAGTTTCCCGCGTGCTGTGTCTTCAAATAATTTTTTCCACGAAAATGAATTATATACTGGAAAAGTAGAGACTTCAGGCTTTAAAATGAGCTTAGTTTCGTCGTTGTACGATTTTTATTCACGAAGTTACAGTATTTTGAATATCGATAAATTTTCGAGAGTCAGAAATTTCGTGAAAAATCTGGAACGAGGTTTCCCGACCACTCTGTCGCAAATAAATTTTTTTAAAGAAATTGATGGACAGCTTCCGAAAGTAGACACTTCGGGCTTTAAAATGAATCAATATCCATTGTTGTATGATTTTTTTGCACAAAGTTATAGCTGTTTGAATATCAACAATTTTTTCGAAAATTCGAAACTTCGACGAAAGTAGTTGACGGCTCGTTTTCATAGTTGCCGATTGTTAATAATTATAAAAACGAGGTGCAAGGCTCAAATAATCGTGTTTCCTCTTCCCAAATTGTCCATTATTGATTCCTTTTCTCTTACCTGACTGACACACATAGGCGTAGGAGAAATCCACACAAGGAAATTCACAGCAACCAGAAACTTGGCATTTCCGGGAGAAATTACTGTATTGTAATATAAGTTCGAAGTAAATAGGACAATTAGAATTGCATTTCTAGCGATGTCCATAAAGTTTCGAATAAATCGAACAATGAGTTCCATAAAAAATCACTATACTGTATCACTTCGTTCTTAAAAACGCATATTGTTCCGCCACGAGGTCGACAAATCCCACCGGTACCGATATAACTCTGTTCTAAAATAATTCACAACTCGCTGCGCTAAACACGTCGACAGAGTTTCAAAGAAACCGACCGATGGTTTCTCAAAACTATCTCGCTCCATCGCGTCCTCAAAATTCCCCGTCACCGCCAAACAAAACGCGCAAAGATTTCGTGCGTAATCGGCGCACCTCGCGACCGTCGTTCTACTTCATATTCAGACGAGCACCGTGTGTATGCCCGGCGAACGTATTCGCCCGGTTTCCATTTACAAAGCATTAGTGTCCTCTGGCCGGTGCAGCTGTCTGTCGGCCGCGTATTTATTAAGCTCCGTCGAACTCCGGCGCAGTGGCTTGCAGTTTCAATCGTTTCGGAAGTATCAGACACTGCCGTCGGCGTTGCAGTGCGGCGATGCGGTGCGGTGCGGTGCGGTGCGGCGGGGCACGGCGGTTTGAAGTAGTTACAACAACTTATTACCACATGCACGTTTAAAAAACAGAAGGAAAAGAGTAGTTACACAAAGAACGTTGGGAGGGGAGGGGAGGGGGAGGAGAGAGGAGGACAGCATCGAGGCAGGCCAGCCACCGTGAACAAAAAACGAGAATGGCGGAACAGAACTGTCGTCGAAACTTTGCGCTCAGCCGACAAAAGAGCCGATCGAGCGGTCTTTACACGGGCCGAGTGACCCGCCAGACCGTTTTCCACCCGCTCGACGACCGCGCCGAGCCGCGCCGAGCCGCGCCGCGCCGCGTCGCACCGCGTCGCGTCGCGCCGCTTTCAATATTCTCCGGCGACGGATTATATACCGCACTTTTATTTATCGATCGCGGGCCGGCAGATTAAAAAAATGTAAAAATCTCCCCCACTCTCGACACCGCCGACTCTCTAACCACGCGCCTGTGTGCGCGGCTCTGTCTCTCTTTTCTGTTGCAGGCTGCGAGTTCCCGACGGAGTGGAATGGCCGGTGGTTCGAATCGGGGAATCTGGGTCCGGTGACGGTGAACGGGTCCCTGATGACCAGCAAGGGCACCTGCATCGACGCCGTGGACGACAAGTTTCTCATACACGACACGTGAGTCTCTCGTTTGAATTGCAAGTGAAATATCGGTTTCCTCCGGTATGAAACGATGCATGGATCGTATTTCATCCCTTTATCCGCAACAGCCGACCGACTCTGCCCTCCCCCTCAACCACCCACACGAGCCTCCCGGCCCCTCCCGGCCCCTCCCGGTCCCCTCCCCCGTCGGCCGTTTCGTTCGAGCTTTTATTAATTAACTTCGCCCGCCCTTTCTTGCGCCACCGACCCCCCGTCCCCGTGCCCCCGCCCTTCCCCCTTCCATTGACAAAGTGCCCCGGGGCGACGTGCCAACCAGAGAGTAGCGTATAAAACGTTTCCACTGAAATTCAAGGGTGGGCGCGGCGGCGAAGGGAGCCGGCAAAGGGAAGCTTTCAGCGCCAAGGACGATTCCCGCGAAGCGGCAGCGAGCTACAAGCTCGCAGATACCTGCGCAGCCAGCTTGTATATCGCACCGTGTAATATTATAATGGATGTTAATGCCGCCCCGTGGGAGAAACGCGAATCGGTTTCGCTCGCGCGAGAGAGAAGGCCGGGGCGCGGGGAGAAGCGCGGGAGAGAGAGAGAGAGAGAGAGAGAGAGAGAGAGAGAGATCGGGGAAGAATAGTCGACCGCCTTTGAACCGGTTCGATACATCCTTTCTATTTCTGCTTTTCTGAAGAGATTCGGATAATTGCTCGGGCTCCGAGGGCCACGACGGTTGACCCAGTGAACCCTGTTTCTGTCGCCAGCCGCGTCGCCGAGCCGTTCGATGCACGTCGTTAAAAGGAAATCGATCGAGCCTCGACGCACTTTCGCCGTTACTCTGGCTTCTCTGCGAGTCGTTAATCTGAATGCGAGACTGGATCGCGATGCGCTGCTCTCTGGATCGATCCTGAAATTTTTTTGAGTGATTTGAATGTATGGTCGAACCTTCAAACTTCGTCAAACACGCTCAGACGTCTGAGTTCTGCGTCTGTGTTCGTTAACTCGCTGCGCCGGTGTGCTGAAATTTTAGTTCGAGGCTTCAAACCACGTCAAACGGGCTTAGACAAGATGCTAGTGTTTATTTATTTGTGCCAACGACGCTTCAAACTTCGTCAAACTTGGTCAAAAGCTTGTCAGTGCTTGGACGTACAATTCATGGATACGTAATTGTACATCCAAGTGCTTCAAACTTCGTCAAACATGATATAACGAAACATCAATGATTATTCGCTCATTTATTTATATTCGTATACGATTTATGCGATTTTATAGTTGTTGACAATCGGCAACTATAAAAACGAGCCGTCCACTACTTTTGTCAAAGTTTCAAATTTTCGAAAAAGTTGTCGATATTGAAACAGCTATAACTTTGTGCAAAAAAATCATACGACGATGGGACTCGGCTCATTTTAAAGCTCGAAGCGTCTACTTTCGGAAGCCGTACGTCAATTCCTTTAAAAAAATTTGTTCACGACATAGTGGATGGAAAACCCCGTTCCAGATTTTCCACAAAATTTCTGACTCTCGAAATATCGATGATATTCAAAATACTGTAACTTCGTGAATAAAAATCGTAGAACAACGAAACTAAACTCATTTTAAAGCCTGAAGTCTCTACTTTTTACTTGTGTAATTGATTTCTGTAAAAAAAATTATTCGAAGACACAGCACGCGGGGAGCTGTAACTATTTATACCAGACAAAGCAGAAACGAGTCATTTATGGAATCTTGAAATTAGAAACTGTGCTACCGCACAGTAACTGGCTCCACCGCCCTATATCCTAACCAAATTTCGTGTTTTCGATCCTCGCGAACCGATGCTCCCAGAATTTGCCTGTTAATATTAAAATTGTTGCTTACCCTCGTGCACGCGAGGCTCTCTTCCGAAGAGCTTTTCCGAAATTCGCACGGCGTCGGAAGCATCGTGTTTCGGGATGGTGAGGGGAGGGGTGGAGTGGCGAATATCGGCGCACGATCGCGGAAATTCCGAACACGATTTCAATTTTGCCCACGCGATAAAAGTTAGTGATCGAATTAGACAGGAATTCCGGTGACGTTCGGTCGGGGATCGTCTGCGAAAATTATATCGTCGGAGGCCGCCGTGAAATCGGTCTCGGGAGTGGACTGTACGCAGAAGCATTTTCATTCTCGTGCAGCCGGCCGGCGACGTTTCCGCTGCACTTCTGACGAATTAACAGGTCGCGTGACAGGTCGCGATGTACGCGCGGTATAAAGGGGAAGTTGTAAAAATAGGATAACAAGCGAGCAATGTTGGCAACGTCGCGCTGTGCAAAGATTGAGCAGCCCGATCGCCGAGCTCCCGTAAGTATGTCGATATTCATCCTAATTTAACGAACCGTGAACCATTTTGAAGTTTGCACTTTCCGCTTTTCAAGTCTTTGAGCTAGCTTTCGTCGTAATCGGCGACCGAAGCGTAAAACTGGCGCACAAAAAAGCGTATTGACTCGTAAGATTCTCCCGGCATTAATCAAACGATTGGGTCAGAACCATCATGGCGTTAGTCACATTTTCCTCGTTATGAGAAGCTATTTATTTTGTCAAGATAATTTGCAGTTAAGAGAATGTATAGCGTACTTTGTAACAAATAATAACGATCAACGCGAACGACACATTATAAATAAATTAACGTACTGTAAAAATATACTAACGAAAAAAGTAACATTGTTACATTGTTCCTGATTGTTCTATCAATTCTAGAAACAAAGATTTCAAGACTCGTTGCAGAAATTGTTGAAATTGATTGCACATCGCGGAGTGCTCGGTCGAATTCGCGCAGCACGCGTTCGAGAATCGTTCAGGAAGCGGAACGAAACAAACGGAATTATCGGCACACAATGTATCCATTTTGGCTCGAACTTATCTCTTTATCTCGAGAACCATCCCTCGGTCGTTAGACGTTATCTATTTGATGGCAGGAAGCAACGATGCCAGCGGAATAGAATTTTCGTAAAGTGCATAAGATGATCTCCTAACGTCTTCTCATTCTTCTTTACTCGGATATTAAGGTCACTCCGGAATATAAGAATCTCACGAACCAAGGATAAAACGAAACGGAATAAAGGCTCGCTTCATCCGGGCCACGTCTTACCGTTGATTGTACCACTTCTCTCCCGCGAATTTCGTTCCCAAGTTTCGCGCGTCAAAGGAACAAATGGACGAAATTTCGATAAATAATCCCTCATTAGCGCAAGGGATCCCCGGGATACGTAAAGCGGTCTCGTACAGTCCTGTCTGAAACGTACGCTGCTGAAATTCAAGTTGCTGAAATGCCGCGAGATCGGTGTTTGGCGCAAGTCGCATTTCTTGAAAGTTTTGTGGTACTTCATTTATGCGTCAAATGAAAGTATTTCTAAATAGTACTTTATTTAAGAATTGAATGAAATAGTATTCCTAAATAGTACTTCATTTAAGCATTAAATGAAACAGTATTTCCAAATAATAATTTATTTAACATTACATGCAATAGTATTTCCAAATAGTACTTTATTTAAGCATTAAATTAAATTAAATCCAAATTGTACTTCATTTCAGCATGAAATGAAATAGTATTCCAAAATAATACTTCATTTCAGTGTCTAATGAAATAGTATTCCCAAATAGTACTTCGTTTCAGCATAAAATGAAATAGTATTTCCAAGTAGTACTTTATTTAAGTATTAAATGAATTAGAATTCCTAAAAAGTATTTCATTTCAGCACGAAATGAGATAGTATTCCCAAATAGTACTTTATTTAAGTATTAAATGAAATAGTATTCCTAAATAGTACTTCATTTCAGCATGAAATAAGATA